AATTTAGTGGAACTAACTGACTTGGAAACTCAGATAAAGAAGCATCATTTCCTTATTTTAGAAACAAGTTTGCTTCATCTTATTCTGACTTGCATATATATATACTGAAGTTATACGATATCTGTTTAGCAAAACAAAAAACAAGAGCAAAAAATAAACAAGAAACAAAGACACGGTAGGAAGGGTGGTTATAGGTCCTTTGATATGGAGAAATCAGGACCTATCATAGTCCATTCCTGTCCTCTAAAAGATAATGACATCATTTCAAGTCATCCTGAAAAGAAGTAAGATGACACTTCTAGCCACATTCCACCATACTTTAAGCACACAGAGAGATTTTCTTTTTTTAAAATAGAGGATTGGTTCATTAGTAGTTATCCAAACAACAGCAATGAAATCTCCCAATATTTTAGTTAGTCAACTAGCATGTTTTAAAGTGCCTACTATGTGCCAGTCAGTGTGCTAAGTGTTAGGGATACAAAGAGAGGCTATATTAGAAATAATTAATGGAGGGAAGGCTTTAGAATTACGAGGGACAAAGAAGAGTTTCCTGTAGAAAGTGAGATTTTTTCTGGGACTTGAGGGAAGCCAGGGAAACCAGGAGACAGAGATGAGGAGGGGGAGCATTCTAGGCAGGGGAGACAACCAGTGAAAAGGAGGATCTATGTATGTGGGGGTGAGTAAGGTGTAAGAAGACTAAGAATGGTCTTCTTACCAGTAAAGTAACAGGAGGCCAGATTCTGAAGAGCTTTGAATGTCAATGAGAGGATTTTATATTTGGTACTGGAGACAATAGGGAGCCATTGAATGAAAAAGGTTACATAGTCAGATTTGCACTTTAGGAAGATCATTTTGACAATTGAGTGGAAGATGAATTGAAGTGGGGGACAGCCTTGAGACAGGGAAACCAACCAGCAGGTTATTGCAGTAGTCCAGGAGTAAGATGATGAAGGCCTACACCAGGGTGATAGCAGTATCAGAGGAGTGAAGGGGCATATATGAGAGATGTTACAGAGGTAGAAACTAGAGGACTTGGTAAATGATTGCAGATGGTGGAGCAGTAAGAGAACGTGAGGAATTGAGGAGGATGCTTAAGTTTAAAACTCAGGTGAGTGAGAGGATGGTTTTACCCTCAACAAATCTCACCTTCTACAGGAAACTCTTCTTTGTCCCTCTTAATTCTAAAATAGAGAAGTTAGGAAGAAGGGAGGGTTTGGGGAAGAATGATAATGAGTACAGTTTTGGTCACACTGAGTTTAAGATGTCTGGGACATCTGGTTTGAGATATCTAGTGGGCAGTTGGAGATAAGAAACTAAAGGTGAAGAGAAAGGTTAGGGCTGGACAAATGGATCTTAAAATTATTGCTATAGAGATGATAGTTGAATTCAAGGAAGCTGATGAGATCACCAATGAGATCAATGAAATAGTATAGAGAACAGAAGAAAGCCCAGGAATGAATTTTGGGGGATATGCACTATTAGTAAAGGAGATTGAGGAGGTGTCAGACAGGTGGGAGAACCAGGAGTTTTAGTGTTTTAATAACACTAGAGAGAAGAGAGTTTGAAGAAAAGGGTGTGTCAAAGGCTGTAGAGAGGTTAAGAAGGATGAGGACTGAGGAAAGAGATCACCGATAACTTTGGGAAGAGGAGTTGTAGTTGAATGATGAAATCTGAAGCCAGACTATAAAAAATTAAGAAGACAGTAAAAGAAAAGGAAGTGGAGGCATCAATTTTAGACAGCCTTCTCAATGAGTTTAGTCACAAAAAGGAGGAGAAATAGCTAGTGGAGAGATGAATAGATCAGTGAAGATTTCTTGAGAATGGTGGAGACATGGGTGTGGTTTTTATAGGCAAGCAGTGTAGTACGGAAGCAACCAGTATACTGCGACAGAAGATAAGTGAGGAAGTGAGGATGAGTCTAATAGAGGACACGAGATGGAATGGGGTCACTTATGTATGTAGAAGGATTTGCTCCGGCAAGAAAAAGAGCTACCTCTTCATGTTATATAGGGAAGAAGGAGGAGATAATGGCGGAATGATACTTTTTATCTCAGACAAATTTTACAGCATGTAATTTGATAAAAGATGAAAAACTATATCTGTAAACTACCAAAGGTCATCTCCAAAAACCTGAATATTCTCAAATACAGGGAAAGTCAATTATTTTTAGGAAGAATTTCTCCAAAAGCCCTTTTAGGTATCACAGAAATAGATAGCACTTTATCTTCCCAATAAGTTCAAGGGTGAAGCAAGGATGCCCATTATCACCATTTTTATTCAATATTGTACTAGAACTGCTAGCTTTGGCAATAAGAGAAGAAAAGGAAATTGAAGGAATTAGAACAGGCAGCAAGGAAACAAAACTATCACCCTTTACAGATGATATGAGGGCATCCTTAAAGAATCCTAGAGAATCAACTAAAAAACTAGTTGAAATAATTAACAACTTCAGCAAAGTTGCAGGATGTAAAATAAGCCCACACAAATCATCAGCGTTTCTATATATTACCAACAAAGTCCAGCAGGAAGAGATAGAAAGAGAAATTCTTTTAAAAAATAACTGTAGACAATATAAAATACTTAGGAGTATCTGCCCCAATGCAAACCCAGGAATTATATGAACACAATTACAAAATAATTTTCACACTAATAAAGTTACAACTGAACAACTGGAAAAATATTAATTGCTCATGGGTAGATAGAACCAATGTAATAAAAATGACAATTCTACCTAAATCAATTTACTTATTCAGTATCATAACAATCAAACTACTAAAATCATTTTAAAGAGCTAGAAAAAATAATAACAAAATTCATCTGGAAGAACAAAAGATAAAGAATATCAAGGGAATCAATGAAAAACAAATGTGAAGGAAGATGGCCTAGCGGTATCAAATCTCAAACTGTATTATAAAGTGGTAATCATTTAAAAACTCTAGTAGAGGCTAAGAAATAGAGTGGTGGATCAGTGGAATTGATTAGGTACACAGTACATAGTAGTAAATGACTGTAAGTAATCTATGTTTGACAAACCCAAAGATCCAAGATTTGGGGGTAACAACTCAACCTTTAACAAAAATTGCTGGGAAAACTGGAAAGCATTTTGGCAGAAACAAGGTATAGACCAACATCTCACACTGTCTTCCAAGATAAGGTCAAAATGGGTACATGATATAGACATAAAGGATGATATCATAAGCAAATTGGCGGAGCCTGGAAATTTTTGTCCATAAGATCTATGGATAAGGGAAGAATTTATGACCAAACTGGGACATAAAATGAATAATTTTGATTATATTAAATTAAGATTTTTCACAAACAAAATCAATGCAGCCAAGATTAGAAAGAAAGCAGGAAACTGGGGGGGGGGATTTTTTGATACCAGGTGTCTCTGATAAAGGCCTTATTTCTCAAACACATAAAGAACTGAGTCAAATTTATAAGAATACAAGTCATTTCCCAAATTGACAAATGGTCAAAGCATATAAACAGGCAGTTTTCAGAAGAAGAAATCAACGCTATCTATAGTCATGTGAAAAAAAATGCTCTAAATCACTATTAATTAGACAAATGCTAATTAAAACAACTCTGAGGTACCACCTCACACCTATTAAATTGGCTAATATGATAGAAAAGGCAAATGACAGATGTTGGAAAGGATGTGGAAGAACTAAGACACTAATGTACTGTTGGTGGATTGTGAACTGTTCTAATCATTCTGGAAAGCAATTTGGAACTAAGCCCAAAGGGTTATAAAACTGTGCCTAGCTTTTGATCCAGCAATATCACTACTAGGTCTATATTCCAAAGAGATCAAACAAAAAGGGAAAGGATCTATATGCCCAAAAGTCTTTATAGCAGCTTATTTTGTGGTGGCAAAGAATTGGAAATTGAGGGGATGCCTATCAATTGAGGAATGGCTGAACAAGTTATGGTATCTGATTGTGATGGAATAATATTGTGCTGTAAAAGAATGATGAGCAGCATGGTTTCAGAAAAAACCAAGAAGACTTATATGAACTGATTTAAATGAAGTGTGCAGAACCAGGAGAACACTGTACACTGTAACAGCAATATTGTATGATGATCAACTGTGAATGACTCAGCTGTTCTAAGCAATGCAACGATCTAAGACTATTCTGAAGCACTTATGATGAAAAATGCTATCTACCTCCAGAGAAAGAACTGATGGAATCTGAATGCAGATTGAAACCTTTTTTTAAACTTTCTATCTTTTTTATTCCTTTTTTTTGGTTTTGTGTTTTGTTTCACAACATGGCTAATATGAAAATTTGTTTTGCATGACTTCACTGTATAATTGATATATTGCTTGCCTTCTTAGTGGGGAGGGAGGGGCAGGAGAAAGAGAATTTGGAACTCAAAATTTTAAAAAACAAATGTTAAAAATGTTTTTACATGTAATTGAGAAAAAACCAGACTGGGTGCCATTATTACAAATTGGAGGGAGGAAGGCTCATGGCAGCAAGATTCTCCATGCTAGGATCATTGAATATGCTAGCTGTGGCCAGAAAAACTGGAGGTCCCTGGAAAGGTAAAGACTGCCTGCCCAGACGGAGAAAAGCTTCCAAGTCCACCTGTATCCTTAACTCTTTCCCTATGATGTGAATTCATTCCCTGGGCCAGAGTTCCTCCAGAGGTTCTGGGTCAGCTTCAAATGACTAGGCCTGCTGGGTGTGAATCCAGCAGTAAGTTTTGAAAGACATAGTTGTCTTTGTACTAATTTTCCTGATTAAAGGAAGACTAAACTGCATTTTTCCTAAAGGACTTGTGTTCAAGTCAACTCCTATGTATGTGACTTCAGGGATTTAGGAAAGTGGTAGGCTTATAACCATTTGGGGGATGTTTTATTATTATGCATTATTTTTCTGTAATTTTGCACTATCTGCTTATCAGTTCTTTGCTGAATAAAACAACTAGATAGTATCTAAAAAAAAGATGCGCATTAAAACCTTTCTAATCTGAACCAACTCAACTCACAGGAATGTTGCAGAAGACAGAAACAGGAGCTGTGTGAAAAATTTGATTATCTCTATGGCATCCTGGAGGAAAGAAAGAATGAGATGACACAAATCATTACAAGGAGCCAAGAGGAGAAACTGGAGCATGTCCGGGCACTGATTAAAAAGTATGCAGATCATCTGGAGACAGTATCCAAGTTGGTTGAGTCAGGAATTCAATTCATGGATGAGCCAGAAATGGCAGTCTTCTTACAGGTATGGTCCAATGTGGTCAAACAATCTAAAGATGTTTACCAGGCGGACAGGTTGGATACAAAAGGCTGTTTGTTTTGGTCAGAGGGTAGGAAAACATCTCTCCCTCATAGCATATTTGTTATATTTATGTCCATCTTATTATATTGAACAATTTGAGCAAATGAAAATATTCTTTCCTTCTGTGCTTAGCTCTTAATCTGATTATGTTACTCAGTAAAGTATCTTTAAAAGGTCATAATGTTTAAATGCAAAAAAAAGATTGTGATTTAAATTTTATTGGATGCATTACACTTTGATATTCTAAGATGTGGAGAGAATTAGAGATCTGAATGCGAAGTATCTTTGACAAAAAGAAAGAATTAAAGCCACCTTTTCTTGCTTTCACAGAATGCCAAAACGCTGTTACAAAAGTAAGTAACTTTTTCATTTGATGAAGAGTTTAGGTTTTCTATTTTTATTCAAGACCATCTAACTAAACAGTGATTGCAACTGCCACATTGTCTTGGTTTCAGAATTTCTGAAGCATCCAAGGCATTTCAGATGGAGAAAATAGAACACGGCTATGAAAACATGGACCATTTTACAGTCAACCTCAATCGAGAAGAAAAGATAATAAGAGAAATTGACTTTTACAAAGGTATATCACCCACCAAAAATGGCTGTCTTAAACTGCAGGTGTGTGCAAGCTGCTGGAGGTTGGGGTGTCAAGGGTCACACTCCAGTGTTGCTGCCAAAATAGAACCTGACAACTTTGTAGGAACCATAATTGAAAATGAAACTTTGTTTCACAGCAGAATCATGCATCTTGTTGACAAGGGTTATTCTGGCTTTGGCTATCAGAGGGTCTCTCACACCACGATATACTTTGTTGACAGTTAAGTGCCTCTGATGACTATAGCAACCTTAGTTTAAACATCACTCATGATCACGTAAAATGCCACTCGGTGCTAGTTTGAAGACCAGTCAGAAAAGGGAAGACATCTGGGTGGGAAATTGTATAGTGTTTGTTTAAGTAAATACTGACAGTTCACAAATCAGAGTAGCAGGTGGTGTGGGGAGGGAGGTGAGGGAGACTGGGTAAGCTGTAGTGAGGAGAAGCCGGTGCTAAGGTCTAGAGACAAAGTGGACCAGTCCTAAAACATACCACCCGTTTTCAATAACAACGCTAAGAGGCTAGGTCCTCCAGTAATAAAATGAAGCAGGCATGGTACATAATCTATTCCGATATGTTTAGGGAAGAGGAGGTCATATGATCATAGATAGAAATTTGGAAGGACTTCATAGGCCAGTCTCTTTAGTTTACAGATGAGGAAAACCTGAGACCACACAGGTAGTAACCATCAGGTCGTCTGACTCTGGGGCCGGTCATCTTTCCATTGTACCAAGATAGGTAATACATTCCATTCTTTAATGGTCACTATTTATGATCACTACACTTTTCTTTTTACAACTAAATCTCAAAATAATCTCGCTTTTCATCCAATTTCTTGATTTCTTTAGCCGTTAAGAAAAGAGATGATATTTTCTATTGGAACTACTTGGTTTAACTGGATGTTGGGGGTACCTCAGGGAATTAAGAAATGAATGAAGTTCAGCACCATGCTTGGGGCCAGTGGGCTAGTTTAGAGATGTGTTGGTAGAGACTGCAAATGTTTATGTGGGAGAGGAGGGGAAGGAAAAAAGAAAAGAAAGGTACTCATTGCTATGTTGAGTGGTTATGTTTGCCCTGTCCACACATAATCAAAGTTATAGGGCCCAGCATTCAGTGTAGACAGGAATTTTTCTAGCTACCATACTGAGCCTTGTAAAATATCAGAGGGAGGTAGAGGGAAATATCTTCCTACTTAGAGGTGTGCTGGTAAATGTTTAACAACCAACTTTTTGAAAATGCATAACACAATTTTAAGTTAAACCTGCATTATTAACTTTTTCTCCATCATTTTCTTAAGTCTAGAAAATCAAGAAGATAATAAATCAAGCCCTGATTTGTAGTATTTACTTATTGCCAAGGTTTAAATGCTCACACTGAAAATTTAACAGTTGATTCTCCCAAGCCATTGAGCTGGTTCCAGTACCCTTGCTTCTACTTTGTGGCTAGGAGAGTTGTCTTATTTATATTCTTTTCAATAGTGTTATTGGACCAGGCCTGCAATTTTATTTGTGTACAGAGCTCCCAAATAAGAAAACTCCCTTTATCAGTGCAGTCAGATCTGCTTTGTCTTAGAGAGGGACCTGGGAGCGTTGAGAGGCTAAACCAGTATATGTCAGAGGTGAGCCTTGAACCCAGGCCTTTCTGACTCTAAGGACTGCTCTGTATATACTAACACATGCCATCTCACTGGTTTGTTATTCTGTATTTAATTGGTTTGTTATACTGTCTTTAATTCAGAGGTGTCTTGGTATATTTTTACAAGTATGTACAATCTCTTTGCAGGTGGTGCAGTGGATAGAGTGCCAGGCCTGTAGTCAAAAAGACCTGAGTTCAAATCCAGCCTTAGATACTTACTAGATGTGGGACCCTGGACAAGTCACTTAATCCCATCGGCCTTTGTTTCCTCAAATGAGTTGGAGATGGAAATGGCAAACCATTCCAGTATCTGCCAAGAAAACCCCAAAAGGGGTCATAAAAAATCAGACACTTCTGAACAACAAAAGCCTGCTTACTCCACAGAAATAAAGTGAAAATGATAGCCAACTCCATTTGTTCCAGACTTTTCCTGGGTATAAGTTGAAAAGACAAGCACAACCCCTGAATGTGACAAATGTCTGAATCTTGTAGAGTCCCCATGAAGAGAGCAGGGAGCACTGGGGTCAGATGATGTCGATCTGGACACCAGGGTATCTCCTCACGGATTGTAAGCAGAAGAAAACTTGAAAGGGAAGGGAGCCTAAAGGCCTACCTACTCATTGGGACAAGTAGCTAGGCTCTATTCAGGCATTTTCCAGATCAGATTTGTCCCAGTTTAGCTCAGTGTTAAAAATTTGAATTTACAAACAGATAAACTAAGGGGCAGTTATCCATGTTACTAAAATATTCTTACTTTTAAACAGTAGCTCCTCTGGTATATTATCCTGCTTAGACATCATTCGATTCTTTACTAAGAGTATTAGAAAGGTGGGTCAGAGAGGAACTCAGCAGCTGTAAGGCGCTCTATACCTACACAAATACATGTGAACATTGACAGATGGGACCTGTTCAAATACAGAAAGAAAAAAAGAACAAAAACCTGGATTAGAGTCTTAAAAAGATGAAGTTATATTTAAAAAAACTTATCAAATTGTAAAACTGTCTTTGAAAACAAGTTAACTTCTAGTTAGCTCTTAGAGTTGACCATAAGATAAAGATTCAAAAACATATTTTAATAGAGTGGAAAAACCAATGGGAAGGGCAGCATTGCATATTGGAAATGAGGGCTGGATCTGAAGTCACAGGTCCTAGGTTTGAATTCCACACCTGCCTGTGTGACCCTGGACAAATAACAACTTTCCTGGGCCTTTTCAGTTTCTTCATCAGTAATAGCTAACAGTAACATAGTGCTGTAAGGTTTACAGAACACTCTGCATGTGTTATCTATTTCATCCTCACAGTAACTTTGGGAAGTTATTATCGGTACTATAATCATTCTCATTTTACAAATGGGGAAATTGAAGCACAGAGAGGTTAAGTGACTTTCCTGGAGTCATACAGCTAGTATCTGAGGTAGGATTTAAAATCAAGTTTTCCTGATTCCAAGTCCTATATTTTATCCACCGTACCACCTAATGAGAGGTTTAGATTAGGTGACTATGAGGTTCCTTCTATACATGTATACACCTATACCTATACCTAAATATAGGAGGTACCTTCTACCTTTAGCCTATGAACTAAATATTTAAAGCTTGCTGTTGGTAAACCCAGCATAATTTATTATTATTATTACTATTATTAGTTTAGTAATAATAAAAACAAGTAAACTCCATTGTTTTAAAATTACTAAATCTAATTTTTCTTGGCACTTGGATTAGATAGGTCCCAACTGCTAATTTGTTTTCCATATTTACTATAAAAATAGCAATACAATAAGTACTGTACAAATAATAACCAGCATTTATATGGTGCTTTAAAGTTTGCAAACCACCTTATATATGTTATCTCATTTGATCCTCACAATAACTCTGTGAAGTAGACGCTATTATTATCCTTATTTTGCTGATGGGGAAACTGAGGCTTAAAGAAGGTTGATTGACTTGCTCAGGGTCACATAGTCAGTAAGTGTCTGAGACAGACTCCCAAGCCTAAAGCGCTGTCCACTGTGTGCTCTGACCATCCACTGTACCACCTATTTTGCCTGTAGCTTATCTGGTAATGATTTTCATGAAGATGGCACTTTTAATGATTAAAAAGTAGCATTCTTTCCATATCAGAGGAGGAGGAAGAGGAGGAAGTGGCCGAAGAAGCATTGGAAGATGTCTGTACAGAGTCATCAGGGGAAGAAGAAAATCCTGGGATGGTATCCCAACTCTCTCCACCAGATGCTGAGCACCAGTCTGTACCTGAGGCACTTCCTGTTGCATCTGAAGAACTACCACCTACCCCACCAGCCGCTGCGGGGGATCTTGAAACTCAGGTAAGCTTATCCCAGGGTTCTCCTCGCCCCTGGGGCAGATGAGGATGGATCATTGTTCAGCAGTCTGAGCAATTTATTCTGACTCAAAGCAAAATTTGTGTCAAACATTCCTACACAATCTACGGAAGAAAAGATTTCAGGATGGTTATATCGTCAGGGAAGGAAGCTCTCAGGGTGAATTGTGAAGGGATTTTTGGTTGTCATTTGATTAACAGAATTTCTTCCTCTCTATAAGCTCAGTATTTCCACAAGGAATTTCCTCAAATCCACTTAGTTCATCTTCTGAGTCAGTAATCATTTTGCCTATAAGCTGTAATTTGCAGGCACTTGAAAATGTAAAAAATCACTGAAGACTGGTACCAGGAGGTTCATGTCCATATTATGTTCATTAGTGAAAACATAGAAATTCACTTTATAGGCAAGACAGGAATTAAGAGAATTAATATTATTTGAGAACTTCAGTTTTTAATTTAGCCAGCAAAAAAAGAAACCATATAGGCCATACAAGTTCATTTCTCTCTGACTGACCCTGAAATATAATCTGATCTCATGTCCTTTTTCAGTCATGCAACAAATGAAACCTGGTTTCCTCTGTACCTATTTGTCTTGTCAGCTGGATTGTTTAAGCGTTTCCTTAGGAAGGGCAGCCACCGCTGTGGCTGATCAACTATCTTCTATGTGTTTCTGGGATGTCATAATCTAGATTTCACGCTCAGTAGGTTCCCAGTAGTGTACTGCTGATTTCATGATGCTTTCAATGAATGAGATCCCTACCTGTTAAATTGATGGACATTGTGCAAACATCGATGGAGGAGGCTCCTTTGGCCCTCTGCCTGCCTGTCATAGATGACTGAAATTATTTGTGTCAACCAAAGTTTCAAAGTAACATGGAGATAAGAGTTGTTAAAAAATTATCCCAGCTGGGCATGTTGTCATCCACCTGTAATTCTTGCTTCAGGGGAGTCTGAGGCTGGTGGATTGTTTGAGGTCGGGAGTTCTGAGGTGCAGTAGGACTGAAGTTGACTGGATATCTGCGCTAAGTCCAATATGATGAGCCCTTAGGAGTGGGGGGCCACCAGGCTGCCTTAGGAGGGCTGACCCAGCACAGGTTAGAAAAGGAGCAGGTCAGAACTCCTAGAATGATCAGTAGTGGGGTTGGGCCTGAGTGTCTGCTATTCACCAGCATAGGTGATAGAGACTTAGTCTTTATGAAACAAAACAAAAAAAGAATTAACCGAAGACTACTTTGGCAACTTAAAGCAAGGTGCCGTTTTTTAAATAACTTACAGCTCTAAAGAGGAAGCATTTCAGACGTAGATGCAGAGTCTTAGTGCTATGAACAAGTTCCTCCCCAAGTCAGAACAAGTCTAAACTTTTTTTTTTGGCTAGGCAATGGGGTTAAGTGACTTGCCCAGGGTCACACAGCTAGTAAGTTTCAAGTGTCTGAAGTCGAATTTGAACTCAGGTCCTTCTAACTCCAGGGCCGGTGCTCTTTCCACTGAGCCACCTAGCTGCCCCCAAGACTAAACTTATTATAATTTTTGAGAATACAAAAAAAAATTATAGTAAAGGAGACAAAGTTAGGAGATTAATGAAGGTTTACAAGGTTGAGAGATAAGTGAAGACCTACAAAATAAAAGCAGTATTTTGTTTTGAAATTCATAGCAAAAATTTTACACATTAACGTATACTTAATTACAATTAATTTGCGTGGGTGCCTTTCATTGTTCTGCCTAGAAGCAGTGAGGTTTCCAATGGAAAAGACAATTTTCTCATACTCTTTCTGGGCTGTAACATCAGCCTACCCATAGCCCTTTGTAGTAATGCCAAGCTTTCTAGAAGCTTAAGCCAAGTCAATGAGCATTTATTAAGTGCTTATTATGTGCCAGGCACCGGGCTAAATGCCAGAAATACAAAACACAGTCCCTGCCCTCAAGGAGCTCCCAGTCTAATGGAGGAGACAACATGCCATCAGCTGTGCACATACAAGATAACTTGGTCATCTTCATCTGAGCCAGCAAGGCAAGGGGAGAACTGAGTCCCCAGTTAAGGTGCCATGTAGTGGCAGTAGGTCTCTCCTATTACAGCTTTCATAGGTCAGCAGGTGTCACCCAGGCCTGGGAACATGGCCAGGACTCCATCCCCGATGGAAAAAAGCACACTGCCCCATACACACCACCTAGACTGGGCTAAGCTTGAGACAGTCCCCCTTTGCATGTTGTCCTTGTCTCCACCCTCAAGAGGAGAGGCCCTTAGCTCTAACAAGCATAACTAGATAAAACACAAAACTAGATAATAACCACAAGGTGATTGACTAAATCTTTTGTCCGTAGGAAACCAGACTGGAAAACTGTGTTCATAATTCTCTGAAAGTTCGTTATGCCCATAGAAAAGTAGGTGTCTACTGGAATTGTATTTCTTCTTTTTATTAATACATCCAATTCTCAGTTTTGGAGGGGAAGGATTGCAAGCATTTTTGAAATCCATGGAAAAACACACACACACACACACACACACACACACAAAACAAAAACAAACCCTCATTTTAGCTGACAGCTTTAACCTTCTCTCACAGTGCTTGGCACAGAGTACAAGCTTAATAAATGCTTTTTCTCAATTCATTCATTCATTTTCATTGAACAAAAGGAGCACCACTGATTCTAGGTTTCATGTCTTCTCCCTGCTCCTAACTACCATCCAGTAGATTTTGTTTAGAGGAAATTGAATAAGAAGTAGACAGGTGGTGAGAGAGAAGAGGAGAAAGGAGGGGTTCAGTTAATTAGCCCTGGAATAATTGAAAGTTCAGACTCCAAGGCATGTGAGTATAGGCAAGAATTCTTACAGGTTTTCTGGGTGACAAAGGGGCATGAATAAGGAAGATCTGAAACAAATTTATCAAATCAGCACACAATGAGAATCTGCTGGCTAGAAACAGGATAATAATTAAAGCCCACTGCTTTTTTTTTTTTTTTTACTTTCACTTTGTCCACTTAAGGGGGAGGTGGTGCCAAGTGGTGCTCAGCAGACTCCACAGTCTGAAACTCAAGTACTGTCAACAGCATCGGATACCCTGGATCCCTTGTTTTATCCTAGTTGGTATAAAGCCCCCAAACGGCAAGGCGCCAACCCAACTTCCACCCAAGTGAGTGAAGGTTCGGGTCAAGTAGGGCCTTCAGTTTCTGTGGATGCCAGTGGCCAGAAGGCAGAAGAGGCAGAAACCACCACAGCATCCAATGAGAGGGAAGCACTGAGTGGTAAGGAAGCTAGTACCACTGCAGCCACTTCTCAGGTCAGTGTCCATCCCCATTGTGTCCAAATGCTTTTATTCATCTATCACTCGAACTCCCAACAGAACATGATAGGACAAGCAAAAGGTTTCCAAAATGGAGCAACGGCAACAAATAAAATCAATTACAAAGTTGCAATTTAAAAGTATTTTTCATTTTGACCTGGCCACCTTATAACTGGCTTCCCAGTGGGGGATGTATAAAGAATCAGGCCCACTGGTAGGCAGGCCTGCAGTGAAGAGTTACTTTGTCTGCAGTGATTGGTTGGTTTTCCAAGTTGCCCATGTGGAATGGCCACTTGTCCTTGCATGGCCTTTGCCGTGTCCTCCCAGAGCTTTTTAAGCTTAACCACTGGCTTTTGTGTCATTCACAGCAAGGTCCAAGAAAGCATGATTAATTGGAATTTAATTCTGCCCTGGAAATAACTCCTCTGATTCATGACTTTTGGTAGTGTTTCAGCTATGCTAGACAAAGATAGCTTCAGCTTAATTATACCTGTGCTTTCCTGGCCATGGATTCCTGGTAGGGGCTGAAAATGAGGTTCCGTTATGTACTTTGCCCCTGTTTCTTAAAGAGATACTCCATGCTCCCAAACCATTATATTTGAAATTTTCATTTTGATATAATGAGTGTTTGAAACCCATGTCGTAGGTTGGGTGTTCGCATGGGTATGTTTCACAGAAGAGACCTACTCATCTTCTTCTGTGGTAAGAATGCTGATGGAGATTTGACACTCGTAGGCATTCTTGCACTGGTGTGTGGGTTTGGGTGTTGCACGAATAAAGGAAGGGTTTGACAAAGAAATGTTATCTCAGCCATGCTTTTGGGCTGTGAAAAAACAGATCGAATCTTTTCCAAATGGCAAGAATTGTTTTAACTGTGACCTTTGAGGCATATTCCAGGCTGGGTGAGGTAAGCTACTACAGTTTCAAGAGGAGAATGATTGTTGAAAAATGTAAAATACTAATGTCAAAAACCAAAAAAAAAATTTAGGAGAAAAATAGTTAGTCAATGTTTGCTATGTGTATTCTTTTTTTGTTTTTTGTTTGGAAAAATTTCTATGGAGATTGTATATAAAGCAGTGAGAACAAGCTCTTACTCATTTTAGTAAATGCAAAGAGCATGATAACATAGTAAAAGAAAGTTGGGTGAGAAGGAGTTGTTTTTTGAAAAGAACAGAAGAATTCATAATATTTAATACATAGTATTTAATAAATTCTTATTAATTACAGGCAAAAAGTTGGTTCTGAATAAAAAATGAAAGTACAACTTCTAGATTAGGTGTTCTTAACATTGGGTCTGTGAACTTGCTTAAAAAAATTTAAAAAAATATTTTGACAACTATATTTCAATGTCACTCATTTCCTTTGTAATTTCATGTAATTTATTTTATCCACTTAAAAACATTATTCTGCCTAGGCTTCATCAGACTGCCAAAGGGGGCTATGGTACAAAAAAAGTTAAAAACTCTTGCTCCAGACAATGTTGAAAACTATAGTTATTTCTGAGCCTAACAGTGAAGCATTCTTCTTATTTCCTCACAGGAGTTAGCACTCTGCCTATCACTTTTGGCTTTTGTTATCATACTTCACTGCATCTGGAGTCAGATTCATACTTGATTTTTACCTTGATGGGTAGGACATATTTTATTTATCATTGACTAACATTATCAGTATTTCTATCCATAATGTTCCCCTTCCGGATACTCATAGGTGTGTTTCACCCCATGCCTGGAACCTGAATTGTCTTAAGAGAATCATGCTGTCAGATCATATTTGCTGCCTAAATCTCCCTACTGCTCAAGCTCCTCCATCCCCCTCTTAAAGGAAAAATGCTCCATTATCTAATCTTGCATGGTGGAAACCTCCTTTCTCTCTGGGAAAGGAGGAGGTCTGACTCAGAACAATGACTCGATGGGTAATTATTCAGCAATCCAGTACAAGTTAACCTAACCAAATGATGGTTTTAGGAAGCCTCGCTCCACACAGAATAGCTTCATGAGGTATGACAGAATACTCACTGCTCTCAATACCAGCTTTAGTAATGATGATGACTCTTTTCTAAATTACAGTCTAGGTTTTCCCTTATTAAATTTTAAGGGTTTATTTCCCCTATCACACCATCTCCATGATGAGAAGGTTCTGCACAACAATGATACTGTAAGTTTGAACTGGAGTAGAGGGGCCTTCCTCCCATCCACATATCACCTGGATGTATCTGGGCCACTTGGCAAGAGTAAGCCTACCTCTGGAGAAGTGCCTCAACACTCATGATCATGGACAAAGGGTCAAAAAAGCAAAAAAAAAAAAGTAGAGAGGTTGTTGAATCAGTGACTATTTACCACCCAAAGGAAACCAAGAGAAAAACCAAGGAATCAAAAATGACTTTTAAACAATGTTTGCAAATTATTTTCTAGCTTTGATCCTTTTAACCAAGCCTTTTTTAAAAAATAAAATTCAGTTATAAAAGTTTGTTTTGGTGCTGGTATCTTTCTATTTTAACTTTTCTTTAAGATGATTGTTATCATATTAAATTTTAAAAATCTAAGCCTGACAGCCTTGTAAGTAACTGACCCTACTGAGCCCGCTTCTTAGCTCCATGGACCTATGTCTCCAAAGGGTTTCAGGGTCACTGGCAACATGCAGCACCAGCTATTTCTGGTTCGTTGACTTTTCCTTTGGTTGACATTTGGCTGATCTGGGAGCTCCCCATCACAGAATTCAATTTCTTTGATCTCATTAGTTTTCAGTTGTCTGCCTTCCAATGGCGGTGGCTGCTTGTCAGCCACCTTTCAGGCTTAGATCCATCAAACTGTGTGAGAGATTATGGGATGGTGGATATGGCTGCTCCTTCTCCTCTTAGAGAGTAAATGAAGTGGTCCATGGTCCTAAATCTTCTTGACTCTGTCCTTGTTAGCAACTCTTCAGGTCTGGGTTATAGTGACTTGTTTGATATCTCCTCTTAATGTTAATTATAACTAGCATTTGTGTAGCACTTTAAGGCTTACAAAGTGCTTTACAAATACCTCATCTGATCCTCACAACAACCCGAGGAGGTAGGTGTTATTTTTGACGCATTTTACAGAAGGGAAACTCAGGCAGACAGAGGTTAAGTGACTTGCCCAGAGTTACATAGCTGGTAAGTACCTGAAGCCAGATTTGAATTCAGGTCTTCCTGATTCCAAGTCTTGGGCTCTATCCATTGCACTCCCTCACTGCTTCCTTTTCTAACCATTCATCAAAAAGAAGAGAATGGGAATCTACATTGACTGTGAGATTAGTGGGGACTAATGAGGAGGAAGAAAGGATCACATCTATTACAGCAACAGCCTACTTATGGATCTGAATGATTGGCTAAGAGTTCAGCCTGTGTTCTGAGTGTCAAGGGAGTTGGCACCTCCATCATCTTTGCCAAATGTGTCTGAGGCTGCAGAGGGAATGTTAAGCTTTGTGGCTGTCCATCCATTTATCCCATTTCATATATGCTAAATTTCATGTCTGTTCATTGGAATTGGGGTAGGAAAACTGAAGGAGAGAGAAGACAGAGGAAAATGCACGTTCATTTTAGCTGAAAACCTAGTGCTGTTCATATTGTTCAGGAAAGAGCTTTTGTGGCAGAGTAGGGGGAGAGGGAGAGGAGAAGTTTAAGTGCTAATGATAAAGTGATTTGGAACAATTTTCTACTGGCCCAGATCCATGAAACCAAAATGAATCAATGTTAAACAGTTACTCAACCAGTATGGAAAATTCAGGCAGGCAACAATTTTTGGAGTATTGACCATCCGTCAGCTAGCTTAATGGTTCAGGCATCCCAGATTCAATGGGAGTTGTTTCCCCATCTGGCTCTTCAGATCCTGAAACCTCCATATTTGTTTCTGATCAGGACCTGATCAGCATCTAAGTACCTCAGAATTCAACACTAAACTATTCCTGTAATTTGAAGGCTGAAGGGAGACTGCCTAATTCAGTATATGTTGAATTAAATTGAACTTAAGAATTAAAGACAAAATTTGAATTAGATTGAACTTGAGAATTAAGGACAAAATTTCCATTTACCTCTTTAGTAGACCTGCCTGTTTCTCTTTCTTTGCCTCTTCTCTCTACTCCTTCTTTTTTGTCCAGTTAACATATTTCTTAACATGTTTTTAATATGTCAGATTTCTTTTGCCTTATCTTCCTTGTTTGGGTCCTCTCATGTAACTGAGTAATATCTCTCCCTTAGCTAAAAGCCTCAGCATCTTCTGGAAACTTACTCAGTGACTCATTTCAGCCTCAGTCTCTTGCCTGCCAACTTCTCAGACAATCAGAACTTTTCCCCCGAAGTAATTTCCTCATATTCATTCACTTGGTGAAATCCCATTATGGTTTTCCTACATTCAAATGCTGTCCTTTCAAATGTTGTTTCTGTATAAGAGCCTGCCTTCTCTGATTCCTTTGTGTAGAAAACCAGATAAAAAGATTGATTTGACTCTAGTGAGCTTGGAACTGATGAGGGGAAAAAAAAAAACAAACAAAACCTCTGGCTTCTTTACCATAAGTGAAATGTGTTTGTGTTTTACCAAAGATACATTAACATTTAGCCTCTGTTCCCCAGAAAAGAACCATCCCACAAGAAAGTTTAAAATCAGCTTTTAAAACTTAGGGCGTATTGGAATGAATAAATGTTATTGGCTACTTGTCTTCAGGACATACTGTGAAATTCATTGTTTTGATTTCTGAAGCTGCCTGATCTCAGTTTCCTCATGTGATGTAAAGGCTTAGACTAGTCTTAATAAAATAAATTAATAAAAGGATCTGTTCTGTGAAGTTTGGATTCCATCAAAGGGCCATACTTGAGGACCTAGAGGCCCACATGTGGCCTTAAGGCTACAAATTCCCCATCTCTGGACTCTCTCATCTCTCCTACAACAGTGTGGAAGGAGGGTAAAGGGTCTGTTACTTGATATCCATGTCTGATAATGGAGTATTTAACACATGAATCTTTAGAGACTTGACCTTGAAAT